TCACTCCCAGGGGAACTACTTCGAGGGTGATGGATGAATTTAATACCTGAGATAAGTGTACGGGTTTTTATAGGCGCAGTCTAGAAACTTTCCGATCGCACCTCGTACTGTTCGCTGTCAGGCTGCAATATGCAATACGACAAACTGGCTTCGTGGCCACATGCATGTAAAACAAGTGTGGAACGGCTGGTTCGCGTGTATTCGTGAATGAAGCACGTGATTTGCATGGAGTGTGGCGAAATGCAAATTAAATTATCTGAAAATGAACTTCCTGATGTCGCTAAGCGTCTGAAAGGATCACGTACCGAAGACAAAATCTGTTTTCCGTCACTCATCTCCCGAGACAGTGTGATCAGACACTGGTAGGTACGAATTGTTCCACTGCATTAGAAATTCCTGGGTAAAATTAATAATTAATAGTACAAAAATTTACCTTGTGTTCAAGCCGATTATGGAGTTAAATCATCGGAACAGGAGACTAGGTAGTCCGTAGAGAACGTCAGGGCGTAGGAAGGAGAGAGGAATCTTATTATGGAGGTAGCAAGCACCACTGAAACGTCAGTAATCTTTTATCAGAGTGCAGGCCGCTCAAGACAGCCATGTTCAAATATGTTCTTATGTTTATCAGTCGTAAACATGCGAACGTAAGCAAATGTCACAGGTTTAAAAAGTAACTGGGGGAAAGATTAGAGCTTCTGTGATGTGGTTCACTACAAATGCTGGACACTAAGCTTAGCTTGACACATAGAGAATAATATTCATTACAATTAAAGTCCATTTCCAAGTTGAATCTCAGGAAATAAATGTTTTTCTTGAATAGTAACGTAATAAAGTTATGTGTGCTTGTAAGTCTGTTCACACCTTCCAGTACTCAAAACACAGCTTTGAACCTGTTGATTCACGAACCAGTAGAAAACGACAGTGTGTTTTACAAAGATTGCCACAGTAAAATAATTCTCTACTGATGTAATTTTTAATAGCACTTCTAAACATTTTTATCAGTACTTTATGTTAAATCTGATGCTAAGTTTCCACGGCGACTGAAGACAATGAAGTCTCCTGAGGCGAACGGTGATGTGGGTATGAAATTAGCTCCACGTTTCAGAGACTGTCCCTGCCTCCATCAACAGAGATTAGTTTTATTACACGAGAAGTCTTTATAGCATACGCAGTTTAAATTCGTGGACCGAGACATGTGAATTAGTTTGTGGCATACACCCGTCTTTAAATCGTCAGGTGTTCGTAATGTGACTTCGAGAAACAGAGTTGAAAAATTTCTTTTTCATCTTTTGTTTTGTCACGCCATTAAAAAGAGATGGAGTGTGGGATTTGAGGTTCTCACTGCTGTCAGTATGAATATGGCTGTCTTCTGGTAGACGTTCTCCAGCATTTTAGAGGTACCTGCTGCTTCCATCGTCAGAGAGATGACTTCTAGCATATTATACACCGTTTCAACACAGGAGACAGTCATCTCAATGTGGCAGAATACAGCTAAATCTTTTTTCCTAGTTGTAAAATGTATAACGCTAATCAAATTTTGAGCATGTACCTCGGGTCGTGTGGATCACCAGTTAATTAACAACGTTCCCCTGTCTTTGTGTAAGCGAGCCACTTGGTATCGCTACCTGAACTGTTTATTGATCAAATATCTACTTCAAACCTTGCAATTTGCCGTTACCATGGAAATGCTATTTAGATATATTACGAGGTCTTAAATTCAAACATACATGAATATCGTGATATGTGCATTACGACTGTGACGTACTGTACATCATATATTATATTAAAAAGTAAAGCTGTTCTACTGCACGCCAACGGGGCGCTTGGGGGGAGAGTCCCATGGCTTCTATTTGTTCTTAACCTTAGTAGTAGTAGTAGATGGGGTGAGTGGTTAGTTTCACTACCCGGCCGCTCTTTACCCTAGGTTATGGATCCCCGATACTCACTGGATAGAAGACTGTGGGTGGCCCCAGAGCCGGTCTAGACGCGGAGGACATAAGTTATGCCTCTACCCCTGTCGGAGATCGAACCCCGTCCGTCTGTAATGGAGTGAGGAACTAAGCACTGTAATAACTGAGCTCCTCAAGTGTAGTATCGTAAATAAGTAAGCCGGAATACGTGATTTATTTATTTATTTAGTGTTCTGTCTGACGACAGGTCCATATGAACAGGATCCTTCCATCCTTTTCTCTTCTCGGACTGGGACCTGTTCATATACGTTTTTGGCAGATGATCCAGAAGTGGTTTGCCCTTGCCTTCTTCTGTGTGTGAATGGAGTAATTGTTGGGATGCCACGGAGGAAAACTCCGTGTTGCCTAGACCACGGCCTTGCCCAACACAAGTTATAAATTCGGGCACCGCCGGGAATCGAACCCGAGACCCCCAGGATTACAAGGCCAGCGTTCTAACCGCTAGACCACGACTAAAAAATCAACTAGTAAATATTCCCCTCCGTCTTAATTTAAGCGGTGTTTAGAGGTAAATCAATCTTGACAAAACTGTTAACAACTTATATCAGTGTTGTGTGCACAAAAGTTTGCTAGTTTTTCAGTGTAATCAATTACAGCCACCTTTCAGATAGTCCCTTAATTAATAATAAAATGCTCATAAATTATACCAGAACATTAAAAATGATACTGCTTAAGTATGCTAAAAATTAAACTGATATTAATATAACAATTATTTTGTTTAATTTCATCTCGAAATATAGAAATAATATATCTTATACAATCAAAGAAACTTATATGTTCAATTGATTTATAATTTATATTAGACTAATATTATACCATACACAAATTTTTTCTGTGTGTGAAAGCCTTAATTTTGGTTTTATCTGTTTATATCTTCACCTTTCGATATAATCTGAGGTTTCAGCATCTCGTCTGTGCACGTCTGTCTGCAGACAGGTGGAGATGATTTAGTCGTGGTAAATGCGACACGACCAGTGGGCGGTACTGAACCCTGAAAGCTTCGAGGTACAACGATGGCAGTCCGACCACAAATCTAAACCATGCACAGTGCTGGAATAAATACGTCGCTAGCTGACAATCCTCAAAGTCTGTAATTGTAATTCTACCCCAAATGTCTGAAACAACAGCAGGTCACACAATTGGACCGAAGGCCGTGTCTCAAAAGAGGAAATTCAGTAAATGAGACGATAAAGTTTATTTCAAGTGTTCCAATTGCTCGATTTTAATGTCTTCAGAATGCGCAAATCTGCATCAAAATTTAAGTATATCATCTGTCTGTACGCTTAATCGTGGTTTGCTGCGATTTGTTAAGGAATACGTCGTTTGCATTTTTACCTGGACGAAAGTTTTGATAAAATTTTATTTTCAAATTCATTGGAATTCATGTTTTGAGTAATTTACTGACCAGAACTTTGGCAGGTTTCGAGTTTATCTCCCCTTTCATTCGCCTGTAAGTTAACAAATGACGTACAATGGGCTAAGGGGGTAAAAGAGGAATTAGATAAATTAGGGTTGGGGTATATTTGGCAGGATCCGCAAGGAAGAAGTGTGGGCAGGACGTGGGAAATTTTAAAGGAAAGGTGCAACGCCATAGAACGACAGAACGTTTTTGCTAAAATTAGAGAAAAGAGATCTCTGGCGTTGTACGGGGAGATGAAATCAGGGTGGGGTAGACAGGGCTACATTGGTTGCTGTACGAGGGTGGAGAGAGAGGGATGGGCATGGTTCAGAGCGGGTATTTGGAAGCTGAGAGGGATGAGGGGGGGCATGGATGGGAAAATATGCCCTTTATGTGGGGCGACAGAAAGCGAGATTCACATACTATTAAAGTGTACGGAAACCGGGAGGTGGAGGGAACAGCTCCTGAGGAACAAGTGGTTCACCGTTGGCGAAGAGTTGGCCTTCAAGAAAATTTTAAGCACTACGAATGACACGGA